AGATTTAGTTGATTTCATAAGGAATGACTCGAGAGGAACGGACGTGATGTGGGGCTACGTGTCCTCTATGTTACCACTGCAGCAGTACTTCAGTACAGCAGTACTACAGCAGTACTATACTTGTACCGTGTAGCAGTACTACAGTGAGCAGGTGCGCCACCTTGTGCAGAGCTGGAGCGAGTACAGGTACGAGGAAGCCGTTGTAGATGTAACTGAGCAGCTGTGAGCGGATGGACGGATGAGCCACCTGAGAGACAGACATTAAACTAATGATGTTCTGAATGTGATAAACATCTGTGTGATGGTTCTGAATGTTCATGTGGTTACCTTGGTTACAGCACTGCAGAAGTCCAGCGAGTGCAGGAAGTGGACGAGAGCTGGAACCTGTTGATGGAACACCAGGTGAGACCGACATCATTCATTCAAGATGAGTCTAAAAATGACATGAACTTGTCTAAAATGACATAAATCATGTTTTAAACAATTGAAAATCCGACATTTCACCTGCTGAATGCATCTTTCAAAAACTTTAAAAAGTTTTGGGGAAACTGAATCTTCCATACTTTTTGTTAACAACCAATAAATTCTAATAACACTGTGTTTAGAGCTAATTAGCATGCTAACACAGTGGACATCAGTGGTCATGGAGGTGATGGCGGCTAAATGTTAGCATGCTAACCCAGTAGACAGCAATGGTGATGGAGGTGAGAGTGGCTAAATGTTAGCATGCTAACCCAGAAGACATTAGTGGTCATGGAGGTGAGAGTGGCTGAGCGTTAGCATGGTAACCCAGTAGACAGCAGTGGTCATGGAGGTGAGAGTGGCTAAATGCTAGCATGCTAACCCAGAAGACGTCAGTGGTCATGGAGGTGACAGTGGCTGAGCGTTAGCATGCTAACTGCTAACTGTGTTACCTGCTGCCAGTCGGCCCGGTCCAAACAGTGCCAGTCCTCACTGTAGACCTGCAGTCGGGCCGGAAGAGACGAGTACAGACCAGACAGACCTGTGGCCAGAACCTGCAGCACACAAACACGTGGGTCAAGCTCCTGCTTGTTTCTACTCACTGACCTTCATGTTTCTACATAAAGTCCTGCAGCTCTGTGGAACCAGAACCACATGAAGGAGGAGAGAGAACTCAGAGACGTCTTCTGTCAGCAGGACTCAGTCAGAACCAGCAAAAACAAAAAAGTTCCATGTCTTTGATAATTTAATTTACAAAATTTGTACTAAATTACATGAAAGTTTTTGAGAATTAGTTAGAATTTATTCAACGTTCAAACTTGTCCAGAATGAATAAACTAAACAAAGCAAAACCGATGACAATGACTCAAACGTGTCCTGAATGACATGGATCAGGACAGAAGAAAACAGTCAAGGTTCACAGTGTTACATCAGTTTAGATGATTGGACTGATCCACAGAGCTCCTGTCAGCGCCTGTCTCTGGATGGGTCATGGTTCTGCTGACATCCTGCTGAGGCTCTAACATCATGGTTCTGTCAGATTTCTGCACATATCGATCCCTAAAAACAGGTTTCACACTTTGGAGGCTGAAAATACAATAAGTCTCTTTTCTAGAAACAAAATTCTCAGCATTCAGCCAGAATATTTGACAGAACTTAGTTTTGGGCCCGACTGTGGACAGAACGTGAGGAGGATCCCTGCTGTCTGACAGGACTCAGACTGACCCAGAACAAAGGACAGGACGATGAAAGGAGGACGAGCTCCAGATCAACATCAGCCCAACAGCTGCAGTTAACCAGCGGGCAGCCGGCCAATCAGGTGCAGACTTACTAATCCCCCTCTGAGTCCCAGCCAATCACACGCTGAGTTACTAATCTGCACGACACATAAAGATTGAGGTCAGAGGGTGGTCACATGGTCCCAAATCTGACACACACACACACACACACACAAACACACACACACAAAAAAATATAAACACACACACACACAAATATAAACACACACACACACACACCAACACACATATAAACACACACACACACAAATATAAACACACACTCACACACACACACACTCACACACACATATATAAACACACACACACAAATATAAACACACACACACACACATATAAACACACACACACACACACAAATATAAACACACACACACACACATATAAACACACACACACAAATATAAACACACATATAAACACACACTCACACATATAAACACACACACACACTCACACATATAAACACACACACACACACACACAAACAGATATAAACACACACAAATATAAAAACACACACACATACACACACACAAATATAAACACACACACACACACACACACACACACACACAAATATAAACACACACACACACACACACACAAATATAAACACACACACACACAAATATAAACACACACAAATATA